CAAAATGTCCTTCGTTTGTTTCTACGCACGAATGCATTCGTCGGATCATTGTCTAGTGGACCCTTCCAAATGTTTGCACATAGTGTCGAATGGTTTCGCAGACCCGAAAGAAGGCGAAAGAACCTGCACACTTTGCAAATGATACGGAACAGGAGTTGCATTTGAAATACATTCCATAGGGTACTATGAAACGTACAACATGCTAGTGCCACTTGATTTGTACTGATACCTGGATCATTTCCAACAGCCTGTAGATTGTTTTCTTCGTAGTCAGGCGTCCGAGCGGATCTCGGTCTTCTTTGATCCATAGTATATGGTGCCACGGATCCTGTTTCAGCAACGCGATCATAAACAACAGAAAGTTTGGATGACTTGACTGCCTTATTTATGGAAAGCAATATTAGAATCGCGCGGCCGTATGTAAAAATAATATCTTCCTGCTCACGATATGAATATAATGCCATTGTAAAAACAGAACACATCTCAGTTAACTCACAACTTAGAGTTGTGAGTTTAGATAGATTCTTTTCAATTGTAGATGTGATTAGAATTAGTTGATAGGACAATATATGTTTTGATTCATTGGGTTTATCAAGCGGGACAGTTTTTCTATTTTAGAAAAATAGTTATTTTAAAAAAATATTAATATTTATATATTTTAAAAAATATATTTATTTACGATGCTTTTCTTTCGCATTGAATATAAAATTATTAGGCTACTGAAGAAGCAAGAAAGAGTTTCCAACGTGTTTCTCCTCTTCACGAAAATACTGAGGGCTGCAAATTCTGTGTGCTCTTAAGTCGAATCCGATGATTATACTTATATTTAATTTTATGTTATGATGAGAATAAAAATTTATTAGATCGTTTTCGTTGTTTGATTTTTAGTGAATACCAAGTTTTAAACTGTAGTTAACGCGGTACAGTTTGGCATCTACTGACGGTAAAGAATTGTATTCTTCCGTTTCGTATGTAAATTCTCTTGTATTTTTTAATTTGCTTAAAGTGATGCACAAAAAATGTTTAAAGTGATCAAAAGGAAAAGAATCTAAATGAAATCGGCTATATTTTCTTTAATTTCTAAATTTAAAATTTGATTTTTTTTAAATTACAAGCGTCCCTCGTCTGTGCGCATGTGTAATCACACCAACATAGAAAATTTAGTCCGTCACAAGAAAACTGTTTCCACCAATAATTTTCTTGATATATTAAAATATATATATCATTATCTCACTATGAGCTCTTCAACTGTATCTTAGCTGTAACGAAGCATTGCATCAACTTTAAATTTTAACGTTTATTCTAACTCAATTTTTGTCCTTTCAACTAAAACAAAATAAATAACAAAACATGTACTTTTCTTCAGTTTCTTTTTTAAAATAATTTTATATTTTAATCTTAATAAACATTAAATATAAAATTCAAAATTGGTAATTTTAATTTTTAATTTCATAATAAAATTTGATATTAATTAGTTAGAATGATTTCTAATTTACTCTAACCGTAACATTAAGGCATTAATTATTGTAGCCAAGATTCGTTGTCAAGTTTTTTTTTGATTTTCATATACTTGTATTTTGATTAGTCATTGCAGCTTATGTAACAGCGTTTCCCCTGTTGAGGGATGTTTGATCGATTTGAACGTTTTTAAAACCTTTATTCTACATTCAACACCATCACTTGATAAGTCACCAGAATTAAATTATGTTATAATTTTCAAATAAATTATATATATATATATATATAATTTATATTAAATTATATATATATATAATTTATATTAAATTATATATATATATATATATATATATTGCTCCTTACCTTTATCTACCTGGATCCTTCCCCTTGGAAAAAATTTTTTCTGAAAATATACATGTATGGGAATTTTTTAGATATATTTTTCATATGTATGTATATTTTCCACTATATATATATATATATATATATATATATATATATATATATATATATATATATATATATATATATATATATATATATATATATATATATATATATATTTGTGGATAAAAGGCGTTGGTTAGATCCTGTGACAGAACCCAAAGTGTGTGAGTTCAATACCCGGCTAAGGCAGTGGAGAACTTTCAGAGGGAAAATTAACAGGAGATAACTGATAAGTGACATCCATTAAACATGCCACATGGAACTAGAACAGTCTACCCCAGTGAGTGAAATAAAGGGTTCAGTTCGACATTCCAACTACCTGAAGAAGGCCGGAGCGTACAACGGCCGAAACGTTGTAATGAATATGGCGACGAAGATGAGGACAATAGTCCGAATAATGTAAATAATGAACAAAAGGATTGTTAGCAATAATGTCGAGCGAACAAAATAATTAGAGGCAATAATAGTTAATACATATCGATGAGCAGCTTATTTTCCAATTACTCATAGGGATTCTCAACAAGAATTAATTAATATTAATTTTATAATATTACTTATAATAATTGCTAGTATCAATACCTAGCATTATTATTATTATGATATTGTCTTATAGACACACATATACACAGGGCTTGCGCGTCTTACTTCTGAAAACCCGTTTTGTGAGACCCTGTTGTGGCCTTTGCCATTTTTTCAACACTGTTTTATGGCCATCCATCATTTTATTTATTATTTTCAGACTGACGTTACATTGTCAATGATCTACTAATAGTATACATCATATATCTTCCTTGTCCGGGTCCACCTCGAGGCGGTGTAATGGTTAGCAATTACGACTGAGTAGTGAGTTCGATCCTCACTGGCTGCCCCCTAATTTCGGCCTTGTGCCACATCTAAGCTACGCTTGGAAAATCACTATATCTTCCTTGGCCGATAAGCTGTGTACTTCGCAGGAACCTACGACTAGGTTGGAGCTCTCAGAGGGCTAGATTCAGCATCGATTTTTTTTTTTTTTTTTTTGCTTTTGAACTTTTTACTTTATTTCTAACTAAAATATATTACCAATCAACCATAATAATCGACAGACCCGGTACTTACTACCCCGAACTTCTCACCCGCGTGGGGGCCCCATGCTTACTGGGGAGGTGCTGAAGAAGTGCTAATTTCACTAGCGTTTATTTTTTAAAATTGTAATTTTCTTTCTGGACAGTTCTTTTAAATCCTTTAAGAGGGTAATATATCTCAGTAAAATCATGTTTTTTTTTGTTTTTTGTTTTTTTTTTTTTTATACCGCAGAGTATTTGTGATAATTTTAAACTAATAGTCATACTAACCCGAAGTAATTAACATAAAATTTCTTCTCCCTATTTTTTACATTTCTTGAAAGATAAAAAACATTTTTAAGACAATCCCGTTTGTATTGTGTTGGAATCTTTGTTTTTTTGGGGTTTTTTGGGGTTTTTTTTCGTAGAGATACGTTGGCAATTAATCTTTATGGAAATGCAAAATTTTGCAACATAAATTTTTTTTCAATTAAAATTTAGTCATGAAAATGTTAGTAGTTATTACAAAAAGATAAACATTTTCTCGAATTATTTTAAACGAAAATTTTGTAATAAATATGGCGACAAAGATGAGGACAATAGTCCAAATAATGTAAATAATGTACATAATACCTCATCTCAGAAATATAGACAGATACTGAAAAAACCTATTCATTATAAAAGTAAATAATTGAAATATATTCTTCTAAATTTTCCATTTTAATTGGATAATTCCTTGATTTTTAGTAATTTAAAAAATCGCTGCCCTTCACCTCACCCAAATTTCCTTCCAGGGATTATGGCCGTTTGTTGGGAAAATGTGAAATCAACATGTAGTAGGGGGTGCGTATCACAGTTTAGGTGGGTCTAGTCCAGACACTATCCCGACCCTACACACACACACACACACACACACACACACACACACACACACACACACACACACACACACACATTTGTATATTTATTTATATATCCAAATGAGAGAAATAACAGATGGAGTAAAATTCCACAGTTCGTAGCATTTACTCTTAAAAAAGAGCTCAATACAAAGTAGAGCAATGTGTGATTATTATTTCTATTATAAGCGATTATAATAAAAACTTGTTAAAATCGCTACGCAAAAGTTTTCATGTTTCAATACTATAATTGTACTTCTTCAGGCGAGTGTAAGTAACTGGTGGTTAAATGATTTTTAAGAAAATTTAAAAACAGTGTGTTACCTCTTTTCCGAAAGTTAAAGTGGGAGGAACATAAGGTCAGAACTAAAAATATTTTTAATTCTGACCTTAATAAAATATCTGTGATACGCCGAATTTCTTTGTGTCTACATCCTGGCATTCTTTGCCTATATCCTTGTATTTTTTGGAAAGTTCGAAATAGCCTACTACAACGTCATGAAAAATTGTTTACACACACACACACACACACACACACACACACACACACACACACGTATGTGTGTGTGTGTGTGTGTATGTGTGTGAGAAAGAGAGAGTGGGTTTGTAGATTTAGCCGCATATATGTTCATGTAAGCTTATATTTGAAGTAAATAGATATGTGCTTTTTGTGTGTGTAAGCTTTAAAATATACTTGTATCCTTCCATGTATATTACGGACAAATTTGTCTGGCGATAACTAACAGATGTAAGTACTGTTATAGAGAAAGCCCTCGCTTGCCGATACCACACGTCTGAAAGTAAGATAAGCGCTTCATCCACCACTTTTTAAAAAAAAATTTTATCGCTTAATGCTGGTTTTGACGTGACAGACTTCGAGACGTTCGGAGGCCACTGTGTCAATGGCGACAGGATACAGAGATGTATGATTGTATTTCATCCTTTCATATCTTTTGCCCATTTGATCGCTGAGTTGTTGATACGCATGCGTATATGCGAAAATATACATGGTCGGGTAAGTCTCTATTTACATAGTTTCCTAGTTCTAAGACAAAGCCTACTTTAGAATCAGAACACTGAGCAATGAAATGAAATATATATTTAGTTAGAACTGAGGAGACAAATATCCTCCAATAATTAGACTCTAATAAACCGAAATAGAAGCCCAGATTTTGAGACTGATTGATCTCGAGAGAGAGAGAGAGAGAGAGAGAGAGAGAGAGAGAGAGAGGGAGAGAGAGAAAAAAAAGAGTGGGGGAGTGCGGGAGAGAGAGAGAGAGAAAAAAGAGTGGGGGAGTGCGGGAGAGAAAGAGAATGTGAAATAAAGAATAATACTTAGTTTGGTATAAATAAGTCGTTAATGTAAAAACATAGGAGAACATTTTCACACGCATATATACATAAATGTATATACGGATGTATGCATGCATATCAATGTTTATTGTAAAGTTCTCCACCATTCGTTCTCCAAATTTAGAAAGATTTTGTAACGTGTGCCGTTTACTGAATCTTTTCATCACCCCTCCGTGTATGTAGAATTATCTAAATACAATATACAGCCCAAAATCTGACGAAATTATAAAACATTACAATATTGCTTGGGGCGGGCCAAAGTCACTTCAGAACCTTATATATAACCAATCCCTATTACAGAAGCTTTCTCAGACACATGATTAACAATTTGAACAAGGCCAACACGTTCAAGCATATATATATATATATATATATATATATATATATATGGTCAGCTTAGAAACCATCATGACTCGACACAGATTTCAATAGGCCGGATAACTTGCCCGAATGCCATACATCCGCCTATACAAATAAATCATCTCGGCGATCCCATCTGGCAAGAGACAACGTGGAGCCCCACGTCATCGATTCAAAGAATCAGCCCAAAAACATTTTGCCGAGGACAGAAAATGATCCGGTCAATTATGAGACGCGAGATGCAGGAATAACCAAATAGGGAAGAGCAGCCTACAAAAAGAAGACAAATAGAAAAAACAAAGCGAGACCAAAGAAATACCAGAGCTCCCCATCCCCTGAGCCATCCTATTCTACAATTCGGTGAGTAGCGATGTCTCTTCAGATCCAACATAGGACTCATTTCACACAAAATGTACATCCTTGTGCAAATTAATTGAAAAAATCGCTTTAATTTCTTTTTTTCCACCATAGGTCAGTTTTAGAACCCCTTGGGTGACAGGGTGTAATCGATTTCTGTTTTTTCGTCAGATTAGGTCATCTGCAGTGGTGTGCATTAATATGAATTTATTTTCGGGGTGTATGATGAAATTAGTTTAGCCTTGAAAAATATTATGCCATCCGTGATTGCATCAGATTTTTATCACGTCCAGGCACTATTGTCTCGACTGTCGATTACTTGTTCTTCGGCTATCGTCTGTGATGGGCGTTACTCCAAGGGAGCGTACGAAAATTATAACACTGCACGAACTCACTGGTAAGCCTTACCAGTGATCAAATCAAAGTACTATAGACTAGTCCGAAAACTCTCCTAATTTAAATACAATCGAAAATCTGTGGTCAATCTGCAAGAACGACTTTGTGGAATGGACATTCAAAGAACTAATATGTGCAATGGCTCATGTTTTATTTGAAAAATATGAAAAAAAATGTAAATAATAACGGAATCACTCCTTTTGCTTCAATTAATTTAGTCAAGGGTGCGTGTGTGTGTGTTTGTAGGAATGCATAATTTTTTTCATTGGATTTTATTGTTAAATAAAGAGGAGATTCGAAAAAAGACCATCCTCTATCTTTTTTAATTGTTGCTGAATATTGGAAACCAGCGAGTCGTTATATCTCATCTGCAGTTCCATAGTTCTCTGTTAGCCAAATGTTAGTTCAACAAATAAGATTTTCTTTGGATAACAATTAACTTTCATCCTTGACACATGGTCAACTTGCCGCAGTTGTGTGATTTTTTTTTTTTTTTTTTTTTTAAATAGATTCAGCATGTGTGGCTCCGGTTATGTCTAGGACCTTTGCTATTAGTGAAGAAATCGCTTCAATGCACTTTTACAAAGGTGCGGAGCAGGTGTTGGTGGCATTCTACCCATAAAGAAGGCTGAGTAGAACGATAGGTTTGTAGACTCGAGTATATCCTTTCTATTTCTCTGTCCAGTCTAATCCCAGGAGATATGAAACTGCTGAAACGAGTGAATTTTAGGCTTTGTCGGGCAAACGAAATCTGATGCTATATTTTAGTTAATACTCGTTTATAAAGAATGTTGCAACGACACACATTTCAGGTGAATTCGGTTGATTTCGCGCCAATTCATTATGCTTTGAGTTCAATAGATTTAATTCCCAATCATAATGGTTGAGACATACAGCAGAAGACTGTATATTACCTGCTGGTAAACGCAAGCACAATTTAGCCGAGGTACTAAGATCGTGCAACAATTGCATTACCACTTTGATCAATGTTTAGTCATTTAGCCACCGTTATTCACATGAATGTTACTTGTATAATGTATTAGTAGGGATATCTAATGATTTGGTCCTTCCCGCGTGCGCACACGCACATATAAACACACACACATACACACACACATATATTGTATGACAAGGTCGCTTGATGTATAAAAATATATATCGTTCATGTATGCATGTTAAAAACTAATAATGAAATTTACTAATAATAACAAAAGAAAAAGCCATCATTCAGTTACATCAAATATGAATACAGCCACAATGTGCTTAACGTGTTTGGAAAAAAAAAAAAACACATACACATCACTCTAGAAACATATATAATATCGACACACTCAGATAAAAATAAAAACGTTCTTGATAATGTGTAATAGATTAGGCAAAAGCGCTCGAATATATTGAACCATTCGAACAGTTTTTACGCACTTTATGTCCAGAAAGAAATCACTGAAGGATAAAGATTAATAGCAGTACTTTGCCAGACGTTTTTAATGAAACTTTATTAATTAACTTGTTTACTTATTTCAAATTTAAATATTTTATTTACTTCTCTGTCTTTCTAGATTATGAAAGAGAATGATATAAATTATAAATAAGTAATTATGTTTATTTAGGTAACAATAAGTAAATGAAAAAAGTCTTAATACACAATTTTAAATCAACACCACGAGAACACTAACATTATAAAGGTCAGAATATTCCCAGGACATGACGATTGCAAGACTGTAGCCGACGTTGGTTATTATGTATAATTATATATATATATATATATATATATATATATATATATATATATATATATATATATATATATATATATATATATATTAGGGGGGGATTTTTCACTTCTTTTTAAATATCAAAAGAATAATGTACTGAAAGTTGTGTATAGACGTATTAATACTGATACAAAAATTAGATCTGACACTTCAACGGTTTTTTGAGCATTTAGCATCAAAGATCGTAGACAAAAATGCACTGAAAAATCTTCGACTTTGCAAGATTTGGCCTAAATATTGATGGGAAAACCAAAAAAAATTCAGTATTTAAATCAGGGAATGTTGTTATTTTATTTTATCAAAATGAAATTAAATAAAAAAATCATAACTAACCTTCAAATTGAAAATCTGCCTCCACGCCATTATTAGTAACGACTTTGAAATGCTGTTTTTTACCTCATGAATTAAGCAGTAATAATTGAATACATTAAATATTTGATTTTTTCTATTATGAATGAAAATACAACAGACAAACAAATATGGAAAAACAAATAATAGTTTACTAGGGCTTAATATATAGAGTCAAATAGCTCCATATAAGAGCCCTTAAACAAAAATGATGGTCTCAATTTTTGACACAAATCATTTGCTATTATGTGCTGTTGCCTTGCTTCAAAGCTATACACACATTAGGAAGCTTCTGTTGTTAACTTGACTGCCCGTTCCACGCCTTGAGAATGTGAGGGCAAATCTGACAATTCAAGCTTCGTACCATTTAATAATGATTCCCGAAGTTCATATTCAGAAAATTATTCAGTGAGTGGTGGTTCAGAAACTCCACCTAATGACAGATATATTAACTGTGTCTAGTGCATGGCTTTAACATTTATAGTTGTGATTCTTTTCAATCTTTTCTTGGCTGGCTCCCCACTCTTGAAAGAATATAAAAATTAATTTGAGTTATTTAAAAAAAAATGCACTCTGCACTGCTTTAATATTTATGATGAAATTAGATAAAATCCTTAAAATGATTCTATAAATCGACATAACTAATTTAGTCAGTTTTATATAAATAAATATTTACTTACCTAATGGCCAAAATTATTTTTATAGCTTATTCTCTCACTTCCAGTTCATCAGACTTAACCATTGAATATAAGATATTTTCAGGCAGTAAAGCCGAAGCATTTTATTTTTCAAAGTGAATCTGCTGGATTTCATATGGTTGCTTCCTAATCCTTTGGATCACATTGAAAGTATACATTTTCTGATTGTGGAACATGTAATTTCTTTTAATTTTGAACCAGCAAATGGTATACACATTCACAAGAAAATTTATTAAACTATGGAGTTTGGCTGAAAGATTTTGTGGGTATGCTCCACGCGTTCATAAACACATCAGCCTGAAAGTTAACCATCTTGCCTGGTTTAATGATGCAAATCTAGAGTCCACCTTACCTCTAGAAATACCCACTGTATATTTATAAAGGAGTCTTTGGTCACAATTAAGGGTATCTGTATTTTCCATTTTAAAAATAGAATCCAGAGGACTGCCAACAGCTGAAAATGATACTTGGGGCAAATTATGGTAAACATTTGCACTTAATTTACCCAGTGGACCATTGAATGTGTTAGGTCTTTTAGTGGTACCATCTCGATGTTTAAAAAAAGCTCTAAACGGAAGTTTGTTTTGGTGCAAGGGGCAACCAATAGTGTGGAGATTTCTGTTAAGTTTTCTTTCTAAAAGTGCAACAAGTTCACCTTCACAGTCAGTATTGGCATTAGTGTTGTCAACAAGGATACCCATGATAGTGCTCACACTGTTGAATTCATGCAAAACATCAGCCACTTGCTCGGCAAGAACAGCACCAGTTGCACGAATATTAGGAAGAACCCTATGTGTCAGATATTCACTTTCATATGGCACCTCATTTGTGGAGTTCCGGTCCTTTAAATTTTTCAGAGTTTTCTCTTCATTTTCCTCAATTATTTCCTTGTATATTAGTGTGCCTTTGTGAGTTCTCCCATCAACTCAATAGCATACCATAGAATTTTGATAAAACTATAAGGCCCTTTGGGATTATTTTCCTGACATTTTTATTAAAATATCTGAAAAAGATAAAAATATGTGTTATCAGAAATTACACAAAAAT